ATAATATTTCATAATATATATTTCATAGTATATAATTCATAATATTTCATTGTATATTTCTATCAAACAATTTGCAGGAAAGGAGAGGAAGATTCAAGGACCTCATCCACCCCAAATACCTCAGAACCACTTTGCAGATATGGATCATATGGTAAAAAAAGTTTGGGTTTTTTTTTTAAATTTATTTATTTATTTGTTTGCTTCTCTTGTTTATCAGCTCTTTCTCTCAGTTGAATGTGTGCAGGGAGCAGAAGCCTCTCCAGGACTCTGCCACTACAAGGCACCACTTCTGCTTCAGGAGACAGCTGCAGATCCTTGGCAGCTGGAGGGGGAGTGCATGTACATGGGTGACCATGGGGATGCTCTGGTCTCAGGCCATGCCTCAGACACTCTGTGTCAATTGGTGCTAACATAAGCAGAGAAAGTCTGGACATCCAGGATGGTGCAGGGCGCTGAGTCCCTGCTCAGGACAGGGCAGCTCAGGGGAGGTGGGGTGGGAGCCAGGTGAGAGCTGCAGGGGAAAGGCAGCAGCGTGCACTCCCCGTGTGCCCGCAGCTCTGCTTCCTTCCTTCGTGGTGTGAACGTGCCCTTCCCCAGAGGAGGACGAATGCACCACCTTCCAGGCCAGCCGATATATCAGTCCTACAGGGCTCCAGCAGAAACTCATCAACTGTTACCAGTGCCACTGGCAGGGGAAAATTCAGATTGAAGAGGGATGCATTTCATATGCAGTGTTCCCCGTAGCTGTATGCAAGGGTCGTGTTTCATTGACTTTGCTGTCTGAAATGGAAATGTATAAATAATGAGTCCGTGGGAACTCATTGACCCAAACTGTTGCTAAGTCAGGCCTTGAATTTTTCATCTTCTCTCCCCCTCCACTTGTATGTTATGAAATAATCCTTCTTTTTGTTTGTTAATCTTCCTTTCTGTCCTGGTCGCTGGCGTGTTCTCAGGTTTGTATTCCCACCCCCTGTGCCCCCCAAGCATCCCCTGCCTCCCCAGGCAGCTCGTCTCCTAGCCCACATTCTGCTGCTCATTTCTGGAACTGCCGGGGGAGTTAAAGAAGAGTGAAAATTACTTCTTGGCCTGCTTGTGATTAGGTGTGTGCTGAATTACTTGGTAATCACACGGCCAGGCTGCCATCACTAGTGCTGTGCTCTTGACAGCCGGCCAGGGTGCAACGTGAGTCCAGCCACTTAATGAAAGCTCCTTTCAAAATCCCTGGGCAGGAAAGAGAAGAACAGCAAAAACCTGGACAGTTTCTTTATGTGAGCTGCAGCATCAGGGCCTCATGTTGAGAGTCCCTGGATTCACAGGGAGGGGTGGTTTGGAAATGTCTCCACTTACAGCTCTGCAGGAAGAAAGGGACCACAGGGGCAAGCTCTCACCATAGCAGGTCACCTGCTGCAGAGCAAGGTGCAGCACTAATGGACGAGCAAAACGACTGTGGTGGGTTGACCCTGGCTGGACAAATCAGAATAGGGCACCCCAAACCTGCTGCATTTCAGTTTCCTCATCATCCCATCACTGCTGCCACTCACCACAGTGTTCCCCACCCCAGGCTTGGCATAGCTTTTGCTTACTACGGCGTCATCTTGGCCAGCGCCGAGTTACTGGAGCGGGACCTCGTCTGTGGCTCTGCGGCACCCCCGGTGCAGGACTCCGGCGACGACTCCGAGGAGAGCCACAGCCCCTGCCGCTGCCGCCTCTTTGGGCCCGCTGCCTACCAGACCATGATCATCAGCACCATCGGAGAGATCGCACGTAACCCCTTCTGCCCTCCCTGCCAGCTCCTTCTTACAGCCAGCCAAGGCTCGCTGCAGAGCTTGTAGCTGTGTGTGCACTTACTGATGTGCCAGGCGTCACAATGTCCTCACCATTGCTGGCTACTGCCAGGCACAGGCACTTCAAACAAAGGTCTGGGGCACAGGCCACGAGCTGGTGGCAAAGGGCAAGAGAGGGCATTGCTCCGTAGGCAAGTAGTTCTGATGGTAGCACAGGTCCTTCCAGCAGCGGAGCTGAAGACCTCCTTAGCAGTTAGTATGTACTGAGAAATTGCTCCCAGCTCACAAGAACTGAGCCTGACTTCCCAAATTCTCAGACACATGGTTTTTGGAAAATCGTAAATAAGCAAGGATCGCAAATAGTCAGATTGATGTAATTAAACGCATCACACAAGTGGCCTACCTTCCAACAGCTGGTGGCCTCAGGAGCGGGTCCTTTACCACAGTAAAAGACAGCTAAATGCCCAGCAAGCCAAAATGCTCCCTGGTGCAGCCTGCCTGGGAGCGCTGGGGGATGGCAGGGCATTCCAAAGGCACCCTTGAAAGAACCTGGCACTGCGTGTGGATCTAGTACTGCAACATGCCTGGGACATCCATGTTTTCCCTGGTTCACGTCTCAGCAACTGAGCTATAAAGTGGGCAGGTGTTGGATGCTGCAGGTACGGCCAGGCTAGGGCCAGTCCAGTGATGCACTCAGGTGCCTGCTTGGCCCCCAGCTCATGAGGGGACTCAGTGGGGCACACTGGGCCTCTGTTTGGCTGGGTCGTGGCCAGAATGAGCCAAACCACCCAGGCTTGTGGTTCTCACTCAGTGGATGCCTTCAGAGGAAGGCAATTTCAGAGAAGCACAGGCTCCATCCTCTGAGGGGAAGGACAGACAAAGAAGGGGTATGGGGGCAAATTCATTACAAGGTTGAGGTATGGGAAGAGAATTACAGGGTTTGTGCATTTTATAGAGCATTTGGTGGGTGCTGGGGATGAAGAGAGGTATTTTTGAGGCACACCATGCAAGGTTTATCAAGATAGACAATCAAGATAGACAATTATTACAGTGTGGTTGTCTAACATTTTACAGTTTTCCTTTTTATCTGCAGTAAATCCTTTGAACATTCTCGGCATCAATTTCCTTGGAAGACGACTGAGCCTGAGTATCACCATGGGATGTACGGCCCTATTCTTTCTTCTTCTTAATATCTGCACCTCGAGGTAGCCTGGATCAGCATGGGAGTCTTTTTTGGGGGGGCTTGCAATGCTGGGCAGAGGGCAGTACCTGTGGTGTTCTCAGGTCACCAGTTGGTCAGGCCAGTAATTCCTGTACATCTGAAAGAACCCCTCTGACTGGATCCCTCCTCTTCTTGGGAAAGCTGCAGCAGGAGATGCTGTGGTGCAGCAGGGTGCAGTGGGGGGTCATTTGTATTATTGAGCCCACATGGCTTCCCCTAAGCATACAATAAGTTGTTTTCTAATAAATTCACATAAAAATGATATGGACAACATCCACCAGAAAGTAGTCATATTTTTCATTTGCCTTTTTCCTTTTCTTTCTTTTTTTTGGCAATGCCAAGTACATTTCCTCTAACTTGTAGAATCAGGCACTTGAATGGGAGAAATCAATCAACAGCCAGGCTGGATGGGGCATTGAGTAACCTGGTCTAGTGGAAGGTGCCCCTGCCCATGGAAGGGGGTTGGAACTAGATGACCTTTGAAGGTCACTTCAACCCAAACCTTTCTCTATGTAATGCTGAAGGCACCAGCTGAGACATTATGGTCCTGTTCAGATCATTCCCTCCAGCCTCTAACACCTGCCTAAAGGAAACCGAATGAGAAGCAGCCCGTTGTCAAATCTGCCTTGCCAATGGACAAAAGAACGATTATACTTGTCAGCAATCAACTTTTCCTTATGCTTTCCCTTGTATTAAGCTGGTAAAAGCCTTAGCACAGTGCATACGTTAGGTTGCATCTCTGCTGACCGCCATTCAGTGACTAACTCTGCTCCACGTGGCTTTCTCTCCAGCGCAGGCATGACTGGGTTTCTCTTCATGCTGCGGGCCTTGGTTTCAGCCAACTTCAACACCATCTACATTTACACAGCAGAGGTGGGTCCTCCTCAGGGTACGTTAAGCTGCTTTGGGGCATGAAAGACCATTTGCCTAAACCCAGGAATGCTGCCGTATTTATTGACTAGAGTCACCTTCCTTGTACTAAGTTTCTGTGGCTGATTTCATGTGTAAGATCAGAGGAGGAATCAGAAAACTAGTTGAAGATGACAAGAGGAAGTGGAATGCCCTGCTACATAACATTATTTTTGAAGATGTTGTGTACCACCCTCTTCCAAACCCCGCAATCTTTCCCCTCCCCAACCCTGCAAAGTTAGAAAATAAGCTACCACTTAAAAATAACCTTTTCCAGTACTTAAGTGACTGATGGATTAGTATGAGCTAGTACATATACACTTTTTGATCACTTACTTAATGGAAATTGCTATGTTCTGTCTGCAAAGTTTCAATCCTTCCGAGAGCACAACCTCGGAGCCATTAGTTCCATGGGTGAAGTATGCATTGGGAATTGTTGTCGTTCTTTGTAGACAGTTGAGTGGAGTTAAATGGGTTGCCATGCAGCTTGACTTGAGTGGCAAAAAGTAAACAGTAGTAGCTCCCTGCGTTGGCCTGATACTTCTTTTAATAGTACACTCTATTGTTTAAGCTTTCACTGGGCTTGAATAAATACCAACATTTTGATAGTCCTGATTTGGATGCTCTTGATGTAACGATTGTTGCTGCAATGGCCATATCATAAACCAATACTACTCACAATTTAATCAATGATCAAACCCAAACTCAGAAATCCCCTTTCTGGCCACATGCCTGGACTCTTCTTGACTTACCTTACTTCCATTGGCTTGGCCCAGTAAAGTATTTTTACAAAGGCTTGCACGAGTATACTTGCTAAAAATGTATTGAAAGTAACAGGACTTACTTAAAGGAAAACAAAATATATGGTTAAGTGTTTTACTAGCACAGGTGTTTGAAAGGCGTGAGAAAGAAAATACACAAAGCACATTCTTCTAAGACAGGAAGTTTCTTACTGGTATCTGTTCTAGTTTTTCCTCCTTCTAAACAAAAGTGCTGTTGATAAAAATGAACAGGTAGTCTTGAAGGCAGTATCTTTTCTGCTTTCCAGATACAGAGCCTGGCAATATAAACTGAATTCTTCCCTTAGCACCCAGCCTATCCTCTGTAACTTTGGTGTGTGCTGCCCAGCAGAGCTGGGAGAAAGGTGGTAGTGGTGGTAAACAAAGAGCAGGGGAATCGCATCCAGCTTTGATTGACTTGCCCTAAAGCTTTACATAGGACATAAAATGGCAGATTTGTAATGGCACAAATGAGACCCAAAAGAGCCTTTATTTCTTTTCGTATCTTATCCCACCAGCTGCCCTTGATAATGTAATGGGTCTCTTTGCAGAAAAATTAAATGAAAAATAAGGACACGTATCACAGATCGTTGTTGCATTAATCTGATTTCCCTCTGTCCTGTTTTAGGTTTATCCCACAACAATGCGAGCCCTGGGGATGGGAACAAGTGGTTCCCTGTGCCGTGTTGGAGCTATGGTGGCCCCATTTATATCACAAGTAAGAACACACTTGGTAATGTTGCTAAACACATGGTGCCAACCATTGCTATCAAACATAAGGAGAGATATCCCTGCAGTTCACACACACACGCACTGTGTAATCAGTTCTCTGTTCCCAGCTCTATACAGAGTACTTACGCAGTCTTTGCCAGATGTAGCTCTGCATAAATCTCATCCCAGAGCTTAGCTTGCTAGTGTTTGTTACTGTCTGAAAGCTCTTAAGATTCACAAGACATTGATTTTCCTATTGTCAAGTCTCTCAGGTGTTTCCGACCCTTCGTCCACTCTAATTCCTAACTAACTGCCAGTCCCCCATACCACTGAGCTGATGTTTGAACTGGTTTTTGCCTGCAGGTTCTTATAAGCGCTTCTTTCATTGGGGCCCTGTGTCTTTTCTCATCTGTGTGCGTCATCTGTGCAATCTCTGCATTCACACTGCCCATCGAGACCAAGGGCAGGGCACTGCAGGTTTGTATTACCACCCCAGGAGCTCCTGCTAAATGCTGTTCTAAATGCTCTTTAGAAACTAGTAGATTATGATTCAGCTGGAATCCAAACCAAACTCTCCTGAGGATTAATAAGCCAAAGAAAGGCCTGACCGGCAGGCACAGGAACGTGCTGTGGCAGCAGCTAAAGCACTGTCACCCCATTTGCCTAAAGCTCATTTCTCATAAAAGAACAAACCAGCATGCCTGCCCTAGCTTCAGCTAGCGCAAGCCTCGCTTTGCTGTTACTTTTCCAGCCCTGACTTGAAGTTGCTGCTTCACAGGCACCTATTCTGGTCTGCCAGTGCTGCAGGAAGAAAGGACAGCAGATGCATGTAGCACCTTCAACTACTAAAGCCATTTCTTCACAAATTCAAGTCAAAAGACCCAACTGTATCAGTATGTTAGCCAAGCCCTTGTGGCTAGTGTTTCCTATGAAGCAATCAGTCAAAACACTAAGCACAAAGATTAAGGGGAAAGTTTAAATTCAGGCAGCCTCCCTTGCCCAAGTTTCATTAGTTTAATTACAGGAGCAGTTCTGTGGTTCTAGTCTTTTCAGCTATACCAGCGTGGACCTTTTCAAATCGTGCACGCAGCATGTCCCCATCACACTGCCTGTTACTCTGCAGTCTTACCTGTACAAACCAGAAGACCATGGGCTAAATAATCCACATTGATCAGTGGCTTAGAGCAGGACAGATGTTTGATCAAACTGTTTTATGCGGGCTTCAGAACTACACTTTTGAAAAACGATACATACAAACACACACATATTACATATATACACACACTTAACTTCACTGGGTCCCATCTAAGGTTTCCCCACTGAGACCTTAAGGTTTTCAGAAAAACACTATGTTAACCGTTGCCTGCTTCTTTAAATGGTTATCTATCTTTTAGAAATGCTTGTCTTCTATGTTTTTATGCCATTTAAAATATTTATGTGATACTTTGGGGGAGGGGGGGGGAAATGAAAGGTTAAGCAAGGAAGTGGACAAAGCAACTTATCCTTCCTTTGTGGGTGAAATTCAACCCCATGCACAGAGGCCAGAGAGCCACTCAGGCTTTCAAATGGTTGGGTTTACAAAGCAAAGAATTACTAAGCAAAACACTTCATTAAAACTGCTTTAGACATTAAAGGAAAGCTTTGATTCAACTACAGTTGAATTAACTTTGGCTAACAGTGGTCAAGATAAACGGGAATGTAATGATTCCTTAATAGGATCCCCTGCTTTTCCTGCCAACTTAGCTCAATAGCATTATTATCCTCCTTGCTCCAACTAAGAGTTATAAGCTCCAGCTGCTGGCGTTTACATGCACAAGTCAAAAGGATGAAATAATAACAATCTGCAGAACTAGTTGTGTACTCAGGGAAGCCACCATTAGATCTTGAATTCAACTTGCTACCTCTCATCTCATGGTCATTTCAGAGATTCCATCTGTGTACATAGTTGTTCAGAGATTGCTGAATCATACTGTCCAAGGGCCTCACACAGTACAGTCATGCAACCCATAGAAGAATTCAAACATATAATGTAAAAGCTCTTTTAACATGGAAGAAGTTTCTTTCCTGTGAGGGTGGTGAGGCACTGGCGCAGGTTGCCCAAAGTAGTGGTAAATGCTCCATCCCTGGCAGTGTTCAAGGCCAGGTTGGATGGAGTCTTGGGTGACATGGTCTAGTGCGAGGTGTCCCTGCCCATGGTAGGAGTTGGAACTAGATGATCTTAAGGTCCTTTCCAACCGTAATTATTCTATGATTCTATGGCAATATTTAGACAGAAGGTTCCAGACAATAAATGAATTCCTTAAACTAGCACTAAATGAAGCAACTAAACAAAAATAAAAAGGTAAGTAACTTCTTGTGAAATCTAGAAAATGACATTTAAAAAGCATATTTACTCATCGATCCACTCCCAAAGCAGTCATGGGTTTGCCTACCAGAAGCAAGACCATTTGGACAGATCCAAATGCATATTATTTTCCCCTGTATCCATTTCTGTTGGTTTTCATGTGCATTTTATTAATTTCATGTATGGTTTTTTCTTTCCCCTTTTTAGCAAGTAAAATGAAAGCAAGTGTTTGATGTTGGATTGGGTTGGAAAGAAAAATAAACCTTTGGAATCTGTCATTTCCTGGCAGCTGCATTTGATGTTGATTGCTTCTCCATACCATTTCCATTATTAAAAATTGCAACTGAGCAGCACAAGAGCTACATTTGTATAGACAAATGGCAAATTTCTTAAGGACATTCCCTTTCTTAGGATTCAATAAATAGATGCTTTTTACCTGTCCCATGAAGTGAAATGTAGACTCTTTACTACCAGTACTATTAATAGTGACATTACACGCCCATACCTCCAAGCAAAAAACCAACCATACTAAACCAAACAACCAACAACTGCCCCCCCCCCCAGTGGACTGAGGCGAAGGGGAGAAGACACCAAACGTTGCAGTGGCAGTGCCTCTTATTTGTTAAGTCTGTGCTATTGCAGCGTGCACTGATCACATCTGTTCTGTTAGAATGGTCTCCCTCACCTTCCTGTTCTGCTCCTTCATCTATTCCTTGTTTTTTGGTACTCCGGGATGGTAAAACCCCTGCTGCAAGCAACTCTCTTCAGGTAATAAAAACTTTCTACAAAACCCACAAAACTGAACCAAAGAAACCAAACAACAACAAAAAAAGAAAATGAATGGTTAGCCTGGGAAGCTGAAAAATCAACCGATTTCAAAAGCTATGGCAAAGGCTGCTGCAAACACAACCGAGTGTTTTCTTGGAGTCCACTACATTTAAGCATGCAGTGCCACCCTAGGACAAAGGCAGGTGGACAGTATCTCATCCAGTGAGAGTAAAAAAAAAAGGCCTTTTTCTGAGTGCATATGTACACAGCAGGGAGGCACAAGCAGCACTTGTATGTAGTCTCCTCAGCGATCTATGCACAGGAGCACATCAGTGCTACAAAGCAAACCAGAAGCAGGCTTGTGTACACTCGGATGTCTTCACAAGTCCATCTGCAAAATTCTGGCACAATCAGAGCTCAATTAATCCAGAAGACTGCCTGCTCTCACAACTCAGTTTTCATTTAAGGTAACATTTAAGAATATAAACCACTAGCTGGAGCAGTAACAGACAAGTACTCCTCTAACTCCACAATCTCTGAGGGCAGACACAACCATCTGTATTGTCAGTGCTGCTGGAAAGTAGACAGAACAAAAGAAAAGGTAATTTGTCCTCATCTTCTGGTGATTTTAACAGGGATAGACGAAGGGTGGAAGAGCAGTGTCATTGTTTTTTGTCTGCCTCTTCAAACTTTGTACTTCCAAGTAAATAACGGTGCTGGTTGTATTCTGACAATGACATGTAGAAATTTGGAAAAACAAGAGCTTGTGGACAGAAAGGATGTCCTCCCCCCCCCGCCTTCTAAACATACACAAAGACTGGCTTATAGTTGCAAGCAAACATTTTTCCCCTCGAAACTTTGTTATCAATCAACTCCATTAAACAGAAGTACATCAAAACTTGAGACACCTGTTAAACAAAAATAGTACAGGAATACCATCGTTTCTTGCTGGTGGTGAGAAAAATGGTGCAAAACAAGAAGTATTCTGTCCTTCACTTCCTCCATTAAAAACTCCCAAACAAATTCCTTTTTTTCATTTTTCTTTTTTTTTTTTTTTTTGAAGTTATTTTTAATACACTCTCCCTTACATTTTAAAATTACCAATAACTTCTTTGGGGGTAACTACACTTTCATTGTACGAGTCAGTATTTCAGGACAATATTACACCATCTGTTTTCATGGCTTGTGTTAAATACAGTACAAAGAAATCAAACTATGGCCAGCCACATGCCTTTGGTAAAATTAAAAAGTCTGGTGAGATCACATTTTCTTCAAACTCAGAAAGCCACATGTTGAACCCATGTAATGTGTTAAAGTTCAGTTCTATACGAACTTCTTTGCCAAAGTAAAGTTAAACAGCTGTCATGCCACGCAAATGGCAAATTCTGTGCTGTTCCGGAAGTACGACGAAAGCTTGGAACTTTAGAGAAGCTCTCCACGTGCCTTAATATCATTAGAATTGTGTTTCTGACAAGGGGTGGAAGGTCTAGTAAATATCCACAAACCTACAAGTCAAAGCAGTGATGACTTTTCCCCTTTTCACAATTAATAGTGATAAACACTTCAAGTTTTTAAAAAACGTTCTGTAGCAACACACGAAGCTCATTTGAGCAGCTGACGGTCTTCTTTGAGGCGTTTTTTCCGGGGCTGTACAACATCATCATCTGAGTCATCAGTAAGTTCTGGGTTATCTTTTTCACTCTGGCAGTTGGGTTGTACAGGGAACTTTCTCTCAGGATAAAGGTTCCTTAGAAGATCTTCGAAGTACGCTTCAAGTTTCATGCCAGCATCAGCCACTTCTGAATCGGGCTGTTGGGTAAATTAACAAGATCAGTGCACCACAAAATAGGTTTATACTCAGATCACATTTGGTCTTTTAGGTGCTCTTACAAACTACCCCCATAAACCCAATCAGCACCAAGAATGACACCTGTGGAACACAGGGTCCCAAAGACTAAAAGCCTGCAAAACAGAGGGTGAGGACAGATCTTTTGGCCAACACCTCGAATGACTTTTTTCACTGATAGATTATCACAGAAGCCAATTGCAAAAGCAATATTGCTATCCTGAAAGCTATATAAAGAGATTCTAAAACCTCTTACATCCTTACTGGAAAATAAATAAATAAATATTTTCATACCCACTGAATTTAATAGTTGAAGCAAGGAAGATTAAACCAATTTTTAAAATCAAATGGCCACCATTAATCTCTATGATAAATAATCATCCTATTCTTTACCTGCTATCCTACCGTTCAGCTAGCATGTCTGTTACAATCCTCCTTCCTTCTGTGGAAGGATCTCCACTACATAGTCATCTAACACCCTAGCAGTTTCAAATGTGATGTTTTCACTGCAGTCTCGTCACCAAAGTAAGTTTAATACAATTAGTTCTTATGCTGTAAGTTCTACCCCCACTACAGTTTACCTAAAAGCAACTAAGCTTATAAAACCAGATAAAGTATCTGCTTTTCTAACCTCATTAAATTCAGCACAGTTTTGGAAAATCAGTCTGAAATCAGCCACAAAATCTTCTGGCTTTGTGTAGGATGAATTGGTCACTTCAAGTCTTTTCTTGATGGTTGACAAGTCCATAGGCTTTTTGATTATTTTGTAGTAATCAGGAACCTAAATGGAGAAAATAAAATTTACTGAATGCAGTCACGTTCATTACTTACTGTTTTATAAATCCTTCAGCTCTGAGGGAGAAAGCAAGATTTAGTCCTATCTTCAAATTACAATTCTAAGATGTAAGAATTGTACTTTTAATGTATATGCATACAGTTTCTGGATTAACAGTGATGTATGCTGGTTTTGCTGGCTAAAATATACTCCTGCCTATTTTAAAATAAAAACAAACCTCCACCTACACTGATTATATACAATAGAGGAAGCAATCTGGACACTATTTTTGGATGTAGTCAAATAAGCCATATATTAAGTTTCACTCTCAAGACCACCATATGATAACTTTGGCAACCCACTCAAATGGGGTTGGTACACGGGTTGCTTAAAATGAATTTTTTAAATGCATTATGAATTCTGCATTCAAAAATAAAAATTAATGAACTATATCCTTGGAAATGGTGGCAAATTTCAGAGATATATAGATGATCTTGGCATTCAAACTGTAGGTGTAGGATTAAGATTTATTCTTTCTTTAGAAAGAATTAGAAATTGGAAAATGAGCTATGAAAGCCAATTCTAATGTTTTTATACTTTTTTCCTAAGTCGATTCACATTTTAAGAGAAATGTTATAATACTGAATTTACTATTTCATGACCATTATATGAACAAACAATTAATCTCTTGTGCCATTTCTTATTATTAAATTCTGTTAAATGTTCTTCAAAAGAAGAATTCTTATTCAAATGGAATAAAAAGGGTGCATAGGAGCATATTACTTACTGACGAATTCTTTTCCCATTGACTTGTCTTAAAGAGCATAAAAGAGGTACTTTTCACCTGATCATGCTGGTAACTCTTCTGGGTACCCCTGGACTTCCAGTATACCCAGGTATTGGTTACTATTTTAAACTAATACATTTCAAGCTAATAGGAAGAAAGTCAGTATCATATTAGTATTATGGAGTACCCTAATTCTCAAAACCAAGTAAATTGGGGGAAAAAACCCGAGCAACTCAAAACCCAAAACCAAACAACATATCCCAATTCACCTTTTCAGTGATATCACTCAGCATTGTGAAATCAGCTTAAAATGTACTTTTTGTGTCTACATTCGAAGTATTAAGTAAAATCACTTCTTAAGGTATTTTACTAGTAAATCACCTTCCAACCCAGTGCTTCAACTTTTAACTGCCCTTCAGACAGTATTAATAAAATTAAACATATTTAATACACTCTATGTCTGCGGAACTTGACTGCTGATAATGGTAAGACATAAAAATGCCATTAGAAACACGTCAACTATGCTTCTTAACATAAAATGGTAAAAAGCAAGGTACATACTGTGGGAGGAACTGGATCTTGAAAAGCAAGACTCATTTCATGACAGTAGAGGTACAGCAGCAGTCTTTCACACTTCTGTGACAAGAAAAATAGATACACAAGTAATTAGAGAACCCTGCATGATTTGTTCTAAAATAACAGACTACATAAAATACAAAACACATGCTCTGTACTCCCTCAGACCCTAAGCAGAACAGTGAGCACAGAAATTGTATTTGGAAGCAAGATTAACTACAGCATTCCTTCTCTACAATAGATATACCATTATCAACTCTCAAATGCATGCTATGAAATCTCATACAATTACTAACAGTGTTATTCAGCATTTGCCGAGCCCAGCAAACATTCCAGGGAATAAAGAAAGCATGCATGGCTCTTGGTGCTTTACAAATACTCAGAGACAGCAGCAATGTTTTTCCTGGTCTGGATATAACTGCTCTGTAACTGCAAAGCCTACAGTGCTTTTTATTAGCAGCGGGAAGGAATCTCTTTTCTTTGTGTATCCAAATACATTAAACTGGATCTTGATCCTCAAGATTCTAAAAACAGTTCTGTGTGATTTTATGCTTGCTCATCTTTTATCAGAATGTTACAGGACTTACTGCTTACATTTTTATAATTTACAATTAAGACAAAATACAACAAGCTACCTTTTTTCCTTCTAGATAGCAGCACATGTAAATACCGGTAGATAGACTAAGACCCCAAATAAACTACCAATTTCAGTGTATTTATAGAAGTTGCCAACTGAAAGCAAGCAAAACACTGCTAGAAGTTTTCAATACAGCTCAAAATTGCTTAAAAAACCCCTTTAAATAATAAAAAAACCCTACAAAGAAAAAAGTAAAAAAAGAGGCAAACACCCCCTCCTCCCCAAATCCCAAGAATCCAGAATATTCTGTTAAACAGTTCAGCTGTCTGCTCAAAGACACAGTTTTTTTCTTTTAACTCTGAGGTTTAAGGGGAAAGAAAAAGAAGCTGTGAGACCCACTGCTTCTTTTGTAGCTTTTTTCACCAGAACATTCAAAGCTGTAAAAGGATAGTAGTTATTCTTGTGGTAATCTCCAGAGGATCAGTATTGTATCTCTGTATATCTTCATTGTGAAAGAACCACCTTAATTTTATATAAGGATGCTGACAAAGTGACTAAAACTGTCAGTTGGTAACATCAACCTATGCCGAATTTGGAAAGCACAAAGAAAAAAATTCTCAGTGCAAAGTCACTGTGTGTGAGGGCTCTGTTAGAAACAGCGCTTGGTGATTCCTAGAACACAGTCCCAGTTCAGAGCACCAGACCACAACCACTTCTCAGACATTCATGTGTTTTTCAGCATGCTTACACGAAGGCTGCTATGATCTCAGAGCTTATTTTAAGAAGTTAACTCTCCTTTCTTACCGTCACTTTTAAAAAGATGCATACATTTCAGAATACAAGCAGCAGCAAGACAGTACTCATTTTATCCTTACCCTGCGGTCTATTGGCGCCAAACCCACAGTGTCTTCCAGTTTTCTTTTTTCAGAGCTGTGAGCAGGTTTATCACAGTCATATTCAACTTCTGGCTTGGACAAATCCCGACAGAAGGTACAAATCCACTCTCCACTAAAAAAAGACAGACACATCGATCTCAATGACATAGCACACTCCTGACAAAAGGCTGTCCGTATATTTCTGGATAAGTTCCTTCTTTGTGGGGTGTTTGGGTTTTTTTTCCCCTGCATCATGTGTCGTTTTGTTGGTGGTGGTTTTTTAAACACTACAAAAAAGCAGTGGCTGCTGGTAAAAATGCTTTATTAGACCTTTGTTTCCTTTTTAATGGCACTGGTGTCATTAAAGGTGTCATAACAGAAAAAAGGTTTGTCATAGTAGACAAACTGTGTCTACCTGTGTTAGTACTGAAATGTTTCACTTGAGCTCATAGTATTCAAGCAAAGCACTATTTTGTTTTGGTTTTGTACTGTTTTGTTGCCTAACTACCAAGACACTGAAGGAATTGTATAGGCCAAACAGAAGGAAAAAGTATTATATGGAGAGAACCACACATTCTTCCTACAAGCGTGATCTACAACGTATTACTACTCTATACAGATTACCCTAGACAAGATTTTTTTGAAAACTAGGAATTCTTCACTCCCTAAAACTTTCGGATGTTCCTGATTTTATCGGTTGGTCTAGGAATACCCTATAGATTTAAATAACAGCATAAGATTAGGACAAAATTAGTTTTGCAAGCTACATTAACTGATTCTCTAAAACAATTTCTGACCTCGAAATGCTGAAAAACCTATGAAAGCTCTATGTTTTTAATATATTTCTCCACAAATGAAGAAACATGCATGCTTGCAGATAACCACAAGAGGGCTGAATTGCACTTCTTATACTAGAATTCAGCAATAACCAGTTATGAGCTCTGTGTGTTACTCAGGGGTATATTATAATACAGGAAATAGTTTCTGCAGCACCTTTTAATTAATTTCAGTCGTAAGGTATGAGACCTTCTGTCTTAAAATATGATGCTTTCCAAGAAAAAAAAAATCTTACTGGTTTTTAGTAAGAGTAATCTAAAAATTTCCACTATTAGTTTTAGCACACAGTAGTGAGCAATGGGCATTTTACTTCGAAGAGACTTTTACCTTCTACTGTCTTAACTGGAGTTATTTATATGACAGTGTCACCTCTGTGCCTGGACTAGCATCTCAGAAATGATGCAGTAGATATAAAAAAATTGATATAGGCCATGATCTAAAGATCTTTTGATACAAGAAAACAAGAAACATGAAAGATGGAAGAATGATGCATTTAAATAGTCAAGAATCAGGAAGAGTGTGGTGGGTTGGAGTGAAGGAAGAAAGATGCAGTGACCTTGTGAATCTATAAAGGAACAGTGATAGGACAAGGGATAATGGTTTTAAACTAAAGGAACATAGACTCAGACTACATAAAAGGAAGAAATTTTTTACGGTGAGGGAGGTGAAACATTGGAAAAGGTTGGAGATGGGTTGATGTCCCATCCCTGGAAAGCATTCTAGGCCAGGTTGGACGGGACTTCGAGGAACCTGATCTAATTGAAGATGTCCTTGCTTATTGCAGGGGGGTTGGATGAGATGACCTCTAAAAGGTCTCTTCCAACCCAAACCATTCTGTGATTCTATGGTTCTATGAAACTGTTCTGTCCACCTAAAGCAAGAACAAAAGGCAACCATGAAAGAAGTAGACTGACACTGCTGACATAATAATAAAGGAATTATTTTGTGTGTTTGAAGGAACTAATGTTAAAAGACCAAAGTTTAAGTAGATTGTTACAGCTGAAAAAAACGAAAAGAACCCTCAAAGATGAGAACAATACTCTGATACATCTAAAGCTAACTTAAGCTAACCCTAGTTCTGAAGTTCAGGAACACAGTGCACTTCTATCACTATGCATCTTTAGAAATCTGAACAGGTGTCAGAAAAGTTGGCTTTACCTCCCTTGCCCCCAGACATCACAGTCTCAGCTTCCACACAATGATCCAGTAAAAAGAGAAATTTTAAAGACTTATTCTTGAAGCTTTAATTTTAATAGAAACAAAGCCTTGTAAACACATTGTTTTCTACCTGCTTAAAGATTTTTGTTTTCTTGTCAGGCACAAATATTTATTAGTTTAAATGCTTACTGTAACTTTGCTAGATTTTGCTTATGGCACAAAGCTGTAACATAGCATCATTTTACTAAAACAAACAAACAAAGAACAAGCAAAAAACCCAAACTGTAATTTGAAGCTTCAAAAGGTAGGAAACATTTTCATGTGCCATTTCAAGTGACATTTAAAGGAGTAGATATGCTTGCAAAAGTATGCTTGCTCAGAGTAGCACAGAGATGATCAAAACCTAAGTTGCTATCCAAATGTTTTACACCAGCAAACGATGCTGATATTTAATAATGAAACCTAATATTTATAAAAGCATTAAACAATGAGCATGTTATGACAGATGTTTTTATCCTTTAATACTAATAAGCTTATTGCATGGCATTTCGAAGTTGGAACATTGCAAAATGCCATTTATTTTCATCAAAGACACTAATTCCAGAAGCAAATGCCAGTAATGCTTATAAGAACAACCTATTTAAGACTGTATTTTGAAACTCAAGAAACTGACTAGTTGTTTTCTAACAGCCAATCAAGAAAGCCTGCTGCTTGTTTCAACATTGACCAAGATATTACTAGAAGATGTCAGCCACTACGTCCCCTGCTTGGAGCACAGCCATGTTTAGCACTATAGTAAATAATGTATTTAATACTATATTAGCTTAGATTTTTCTTTAAGTTTTTTATTGTTGCTAAAGAAATGTAAATCTTTTCCATCACCCTTAAAACATTTATGATGGATTGGTAATTCTGTGGCCTAGTTTTAACAATAGTTTACCCAGATGTTAAGTGATCTTGCTTAACCGTAAAACAAGTGAAGAGTTTTGTTACAGATTTTGCAGCCACGATAAAGTTAAACTGAAGTTTCAATGCAATTTCCAATTTTCACCAGTTAATAAAATTTCTGGATTCCAGACTTCAAAAACACCACTGCTTCCTCTGAGGCTGAAGCTGCTTGTGCTGGATTTCACAATACAAAGTTTGTGTCTTTTAATGCAAGTTATATGGAACGCAAGAGGCCATAATTACCTTGGAAAGCTCATCAATGTAGGGACATGACAAGAAAGATGGAATACTTTGGGACACTTCTCACAGCAAAGGAGCTCCCCTCCATTTTGACATACTGCACACCAGTCTTCATTGGGATCATCCTCTTTTCTGCCCTCCCCTGTGTGAGAGGGGCCTATCCATCCTGTCTTCCCACTGGATGAGTTCTCCTGCAGTAACCCTGGTTGATCATCTGTGCTGTCTGGTGCATCTGTTCTTAAGACAGCTTCATCAGAAGTGGCATTATTATTGCCATCGAGCAGCAATGAAGTAAGTATGCTTCTTGAAAAGTTGGCCTTTAGGAAGAAACAGAGGAAAATCATAATATGTATGTGCATTTACATGACCTTAACAACAAGCAAACTCACCAGAATAACAAATTTATACAAAAGCAGCCATGCAACTTGCAACATGCATGCAAAAATTACTACTGTAGTATAACATCAGGCAACTAAACATGAGAAATTGAGTATGAAAGGCTATTTACTGCTCCACTAATAAAACCCTAATCTTTGATGCCCCAAAAGTCTAGCACCTTGTTTATATACATATTAGTGTACTATGTATTAGAAACACTTCCTAGCACACAAAAATTTGATGTTTGCAAGCTATTTCCTACCTTCCCAGGTTTTCAATGGAAAAAAGCACTCTGATCACACCAGTTAATTGAATTGGCAGAACTAGTTTGATTTTGAATTTCACCTCTTCCTTTTATTTAGCTTTTTAGTTTTCCCCCAAGAAAGTCCCCAACAAAATATTAGTAAATTATTTTATCCCCCATAAATGCAAGACTCTCTCCAAACAGAAAGGAGATCTTTATAACTGTTAATATTACATTCTGAGGCCGGGATTCCTCCTCCGTTTCCTGCTTCACTATAACAATTGGGAAATCAAAGTTCTCATTTGGTGCACTTGACTCCTGTTTAATTCTGATGGGCTCCAACATAACAACCGGGACTTTGTGCGTAGAATCAGCTCCTGGTGGCCTGCTGGAGGAGCCAGAACTGTAAACGACAGAATGAGGCAGGGAAAAAAAGGAAATTAAGAATCAGAACTGGACACCTTTTGTACACTGATACTTTCAAAGACCTCAGGATGCTAATCCATTTTGCTTCTTTGAATCTTGAGCACTACAGTATCACTTTTACTTAATAGCACATCCAAGATTGTTCCCTTTGATGTATATGGAAAATGACTTATAAAAGAGAAAATTTTAGCGGTGCAGTTCCAGAACTAGAGCATTACTCATGGTTCGACTTCCAATTAGTGCAAGATTTGCAAATAATCTGTTACTTCAGGTCATACACAAAAAACCACTTCCACTGAACATCATCCCACTTTGGAGGAGATGCAGCTGTATTTTGGGAAAGGCCAGTGTTTCTCCAGAGCAGAACTGATCACTGTAAACCACACAAGTGAATATGACAGATAAAACACGTATTTACATTATCTTGGAAGAGTTTCTTACAGCCTTGCTTCTCTACTGAAACTGGGGCCCTACTTTTAGAACTAGATCTGTCTTTTTTCACGTGTTTAGTGACAATAGGATGAGAATCGACAACCAAACTCAAAAATACCAGCTTATTATTTGTAATAATAATGAAGAATTTGAAATCCAACAAAATTAATTCAAGCAGCAGCAGATAGAGTCACATTTTTTTAAATTCAAGTAAGACTCTTCAGATGAACATTTAAACAGCTCATAAGAGTCCTTCACAGAATTTACTGTGTAAATGGAATAGAACAAAAGGTATTCTATATTAAAAAGCATCTGCATTTCCAATTCAAGTAGGATGATTGTCATCTGATTTTTCCTTGCATGAAAAATTAATCTCATGTCAGATGTATGCTCTAATTTATTGAAACACATTAATGGATCTGCACTCTTCAAACAACATTGTGTAAATATATTTGTTCATTAATATTCCATCACTAAGGTATAAAAAGATTTGTTAGACTCTCAGTAGATATCTAGTGTTCACTTAACTAACTGTATTATGGCAGAAAATTCTTAATAACTCTCTTTGTAAATCAGTTCCTTAAATCTGAAGTAATTTATAATTCCACGAGGACTTTCGATATACAACTTCTTCCTTCAGCAGATTTTTCTGAATTTAAAACCTAATTTAGAATCCTTTTACTAACGCCAACCTAGCCATCATTTACAGAGTTAATATGTGTTTAGATGTGCTATTAATACATTACAAATGAAATTACTACTTTTAGAATGCAGAGTGCTGTAATAACCATCAGGCCTGGCCTGTTAACAGAGAAGGTGAGGCAAATTGACTTTATATGCATTAATGAGAGAAGGGACTGAGGCACATTCTACGGAGGTGGAAGTTAACATTTACCTCTTTCCCACTCTGTCCTTACCTCTCTCTGCTCCCAACACTGGAGGCACTGGGTGAACGAATTGGAGGGTGTATGTTTGTCACACTGACTCCTCCTGTGAGAGAAGGATCAGATTAGAACAAAACACAGGTCTGTGCCAAGTCTGAGATGTGACTCAGAAGTACACAGGTTTTTGGGAAAATTTCTCATGCAGTGTCATTCATTTAAACCGTATCTCATTTAATACAAATTCACAACAGGGTGAGAAGCATGGGATAATAGAGGCAAAGAGAGGACTAAAAAGGGGCCCATTGCAGGTAAGCAGGCTAATGGGTAGCACCTTTGCCTGGCTGAGCCCCCAGTCTGATCACTGCAGCTTGTTTTGTCTTACCTTATTACATTCTAGCATATCTCTCAGGACATCTGCTAGGAAACTAAGCCAGATGAGCTAGCAAGGAGGAAGATGTCTTGGGGCCAGATATGAGAGAGACCAAGGGTCTGGGAACCAGATAGCTGAAAGACTTGTGAAGGATATTTTTGCAAAGCATTGGTCCTAAGAAACCAGAGTGGGCTGCCTGTGCTACCTGTGAATGCATTATCCACCTGTCTCAGCTAATCTGCCCAAGCACATAAACACCATGTGAGTGCACAAATGTTATGCAAGTGCTTATTGGGAATACACGCTCCCAGAGGCTCACTACAGGCCACATCAGGAAACTGGAGTAATGAGCAGCTACTGATTGTCACCAGTCATGGTGACAGGAATCCCCTGGGTCCTTCAAGTCCATCACATTTAGCTACCCATAACAATAACTTCTCTGGTCAACCTTTATCAGTGCTGCACTACGCTTCCAGGGAAAAAAGATCTTCTAATATCCAAACTGAACTTCCCAAGTCACCATGTGTAGCCACTGCCTCCTGTTACATCCTATCTTGCTTTTTCAAATACTGGTCTCTCACCACAGCTGCTAGGTTTTAATCTGGTGTACCTCTAACAGTGCCATTTTTCTATGGATTTCTGTGCAATTTGAGAAAATCTACTGTTTTCCTTCCATGTTTTTAAGATCCTGCCACTTTTGCTCACAAGGCTAAAATATTGCTTCAACTTTACCTCTTCCTAGGGTTTCTACAACTTTGCCACTATTTTTATATTTCTCATCTTAGATATGAGTAACTAATTCTGTTACCAGCGTTAACATGGCCACATCACATTTTTCCATTACACTACTTACTTAAACAGAGAATTGCATCACACCGCAATTACCTGAGAGGCCTGGTGATGGTACTGATGAATTTGGTGACTGCACAGTTCTGTTTGAAGGGGGTTTTGGCTGATTCTGCTCTGCAGTGCCATCCTTCCTTACAACATTATCCAGTGTGATGTTTCCTGAACAATCAATCTAAAAGGTGGGGAAGAGAGGGAAAGCAGTTAGTGTTGAGAGGGGAAAAAAAATAAACCACAAAACACACCCCCCTCCAACAACAACAAAACACCTCATTTCTCTCCCATCCTGTTATTTTGAAGGTAAAACCAAAATGCATTTCACCTAGCTCTGGTCATCTAAAAAGTGAGATGGCTACTTTAGAACAGGTCATCTTGCTTTCTCTAAAAAGAAAAGAAATGGCCACATCCAGACAGTGCTTCATTTTAAGATCAGATATTTCTTTAAGTGCCAATTTTTCTCCATCAGTTACAGAGGCGGCTTACATCAGACAGCTAGCTAGCTTTCACACACTGAAGTAAGAGATGAATTTTTATCTCCACACCTTTTTTTGACATGCTCACCTTATACACTCTAAAAAAAATTAAAAAAAAAAAAAAAAAGAGATAATGAGCAATACACAAACTACCCATTAATCCACTAGTGTTTAACAGGACTGGAAAAATGTCAAAGAACACTCAACTCCATCTGTCCCACGTATCTTCTGGGCAGCAGCCATGCATACTGATTCAAAACACAAACAGCAAACCAACACTTGTTCTTTCCACCCACAGCCTAGGCCAGACAACTGAACTCTGTTTTAGGGACTCCCAATTTAACATTCTAACTTTCTGTAAAAATTACACATTCTGGTTTGATAAAAAGATCTTTTGAAATGCTAGGGGGTTTTGCAATATATAAGGTCATGTATGTTAAGAATATAGGTCACCTTGGTATAAGTTTTCTCAATTATCCAGACACCTCACAAATTCACTGGTATAAACTGCATTGATCACTGAAACTTCTATTTAAAAGCTAGACTTACTAGAAGTGGATGCGGAAGCCTCAGCTAGGCCAGCATATTTACAGTGATTTGGGACATGCATTTTAATAGCATAAACTTCACCATGTACAAATAGAAGAGTTCATAATACTGTGCACAAAAATCAGTATACTAAAGTGTCTCACAGACTAGTGAGTGTTACTAGTAGTTTTATGATTGTGTTTTGTAGTTCACCTTTTAAGCCTGACGGATACTGTGATTCTGTACTCAATTTAAAAAAAATATCACTTTTATCTGAGACTTTATTAATGAGAACAAAAGACAGGTGGGAAAAGAGGGAGTAACAGTAAGTTATGACTAGAAAACCATGACATTCCAGACATCTACAAACCTTAGACCAGAAAAATAGGCTTGGCAGTTATTTGAAAGAATAAAGTCAACCGACCAGAACTCAACAGCTAATGTGCACCTCTGACAAACATGTACCAACAAGAAGAATCTATGAAGGAGAAGGTTAGAAGCTTAAGAAATGATGATCTTATGATGCTTTATCACCAGCTCACAGGCATGTTAGAGAATACATGAAGAAAAGAAGTACCAAAAGAAAAAGATATAAGGAATATATCCAGTATACCAACAGTTAATACCTACCTAAGATAGCCCTTTCAATGAATTAAAATACATATTAAAAAATGTTTTATAATTACCAGAAATACCATCAGCAAACCAGTGGTACCTGTGGACACTGCTACACTAACTCATTTTTGTTAGTATCATTATTGGGGGGCGAGGGAAAAATATGCACCCTCAAACAAAAAAGTCCAATTACAATTACAACCTGCAATGTTATTTTTCTTTCTTAACAGCTGTCTCCCGGAACAGTTCTGAGTATTGCCAGCAACATGTAGGCAATCCTGCACTGTTGTTTTCTGCAACTGTTTTATTTTGTCAGAGCAAGAATTTCAGACTAAAAGATTTCTAATTCTCACAAATATTAAGACTTACTTCAAAATAGAATCCATAAAACATTGCTCTTATGTTATACTTACATCAGGAAGAGATGGTAGATTGTAGGAGCTACCCACTGGAGAACTCAAATCTATCACAGGGGGACCATATGTCTTCCCATCACATCCTACAGCACTAGTGACTGTGGGGCTGGATGGAGTAGATGTTGTGCTGCTTGCAGTTGAAGGGGCAGTTGAAGCTTGTCCACTACCGATCTGCCACTAAAAAGTAAAGACAATAAACCACAATTAATAATTTTGATTATTTTTTTTCCAACTGATCACATCTACTGCATATACTGGTTCTAACTCAGCACTTAAACAAGCAGCTTAGTTCAGGAAGCTGAATTCAAACATAACATCATGATTTACTCTGAAGTTACCCAATTTCAAGAGCCAGTCTTACATGACAAGGGAAGATGACAAGTAGTTGAAAACTGAATAGAAGAAATGAATGTGAATTCTTAAATTCAAAGCTGTATCTCCATGTTAAGTATCTACTAATATTTCATGCTGCATTGACAGTGTTGTGGGAGAAATGTAACAGTTTTAGTGAAATAAAAGCATTACAGATAATAGGCTGAATGCACAACTGCTCCTGTGCTTTATTAAGTAAATAGCTATAGTGTCACTTGGACACCATCAGGTATTTGATGTTGTGCTTCCCTTAACAACTTAAAGTGATTAAGAATTTGAAATGCTGACTGGATCTCCACCCACGTATACATTTAACACCATGATATGAAGTGCACAGTCAAGTCAGACTAAATTTCTTTCTCACTTAGGCTTATGCAGTTTTCAACTACTTTAATGGAATTTCATGGCAACCGTAGGCAAAATCTGATTCTGCTCAATTCCTTTGTAATCAATCACTCATTCTATTTACTGGTTTCTAGTTTCAGAAAGACATTACTAGATAATACTAAATTACTTTCTTACTTGAAAGAAAGACTTACAGGCAGGCCAATCTTCAGAGGCAGAGAACACAAGCAACTTAGTTTTATTACTAGAGGTTTTCTTAAGATATTGTACCATTTCTTCAATTCAGTTGAAATTAGTTCTCTAACATCATAAGCATTGCAAAGATGAATGGTATTACTCCACTTCTCAGGTCACAGATCAGTCTTACTTGATTCTTCCCTGCTTACCTCTAGTGAAATGATTTTCTCTTTCCTTCCACAGAGCTAACTCATGTGTTAATATGCTTTTCAATAAAGATCTGCCTTCCTGAGCATCCAGAAAATGTGTGACGTATTTGCTTCTGCCCCAGTTAAGTCTTACTCATCAGAGGTCCCACAATTGTGCACTTCTTTTTAATCTCCTTCTCTGGAGAAGTTCATATGTGGCATACTCTGGAGAGTGGTGGCACCTACAGTTTTTTTGGCAAGCTTTTACCTGGTTCCTAGCAAAGTCAAGCTAAAGAGAGGGATTTTCTATTTTATCTATTCACTGATTGCTGTTTGCAGACCAAGGCCATGTTGTTTTGCATAAATGGCCAGAAATCACAGTAACAGCAAACAAGAGAATGAAACACCTACATAGAACACACAGTGGCTCACTTCTGTAATGCTTCAGCTGCTTAGAACTGCCAAAATGAAACTTGACAGTTATCTCACTAAGAAAACTGGGAATCCTGTCATAGGGAAAATGCAGTGTTTGTTCTAATTGCAAAGCACTCTAGAAACATAATATAAAAGTAAGATGATATAAAGCATATTTGATGTTTTATTTTTACATGATGAGTGAAAAGGGAAAGAAACTTTACCTGTTTTATAGCTTGCTGTGCCAAGAATGCCATTTGCAGTGGGTTGGGCTTTATTGCTTGCCTTGGTAGGTTCTGAGTTTGGGGAAATCTCATCTGTTGTGCAGGAAGAGCCGAACCATTAGACTTGGGGCTATGATTCTGAAAATGAATCAAGCGTGGAGGTGCCTACATGAAAAAAACCAAACAAACAATTTTGCAAGTTAGCTGGTACATATTCAATGTTTCACAAATTTTTACCAAGTGGACCTTTTAAGCTTCTGAAACCCTTAAAAAATTAGATGCAAGCAAACAGTACCACACCATTTCTGGGGTAACGGTTGGACTTGATGACCTTAAAGGTCTTTTCCAACCTACCTGATTCTATGATTCTGTGATTTATCTGAATGGTCACGTAACACATCATTGATTTTCAATCTTAAAAAAACTCTAGCAGATAGATAGGTTTGAATTATTCTGATATAATAAATGCAGATACATGACAAGAGCCAGTGAGAGTATTAACAACTATTGAAGTTACATGGGAGAATCATGGAGTTTTATGCAAAAAAAACTTGGAAAAAAATTAATGACAGATTCACTTTTTAATCATTTGACAGAAGTACAAAATATGTAACTCAGCACTATATATGGTTGGATAACATATGTTGGCTTTTTCATTTGTTTATAAAAATAGGCTGAGTGCTACCACACAGACAAATTTAAAGTGCTGATTCAATTCTCAGTGAAGAAAATGTTCCGTAACCTATTTACGTAGCCACATGCTATGAAGCTATCTGAACTTACGTATCTAGATTTAATTTCTTTCTCTTATCTTTCCTTATTTTCTCTTTCACTGCCATGGAAAAAGAGTCTCCCCTGGAAATAGTTGTAACTTACCTGATGAGAAGCAGGAGGTTGCTGCATGGCTCCTGGCATTCTTGGATTTGGTAAACTTACTGGACCTGCTCTGCGTTGAGCTTGCTGTCTCTGAGCCATGACCTGTTGCTGCATGTGCTGGAGTCGGAGCTGGGCTAAGCTTATCTGCGTTGGGAACTTGGAGAGCTGGTTTGAAGGTAAGCTGCCTGGTGGCTGTAAGTTTGTTTCCATCACCGGGTTCTTGGGCATATGTGGTGGAGTTTCTTTATCTTCAATTACCAAAGAACCTAGTTTAAACCAGATGAATAAAATACCAAAATATTGCAGTTAGCAAAAATGCTATTTTTTCCACATTTAGTTCCTTTTATACCATGCGGTCATCGTTCATTAATGTAAAGAATGGATAAACATGAGACAGAGGACTCCATTTATTTTGTCTCCCTGAAAAGAAATGGTTGCATTTTAAAGCAAACTGTCTTATGCTGCAGCCTCCTCTATATAGCAGGTTCTCCTAATAAGGTGTCCTGGCCTCTACAGAAGAGCAAGAGAGCAAAGGGAAAAGGGTATCCTGATATAATCTGATAAAAATCATCTGATAAAAAAAAAGTAACTGTATCATAAAACTTAAAGATCACAGTATCTTTCTGGTCTCTGAATTAACATCATGGAATACTCAAGTGATACTTTCAATTGCTACACACCACCAATTCTAGCATGTGATGGGCACCTCCAGCAGATATTTTTTCTCCACTGACTTAGAAGGAATTACGACTAGACAGGAACTTCTAGAAATTAACACTGTGTGAGAGATTTATCTTAAGGGATATATAGTGTGGTTACACAAAACTCTCATGTAAAGTGCCGGATACCTCATCCAAAGAAACATGAATTCCAACTAGAACAGAGTGTGATTTGATTCAACAGAAGAGCAGACTGTACAGGAAAAGACAGAGACACTTTCTTTGTTTGAAACAAAGTGAAGTTGGTAAAGTTATGGTCCAAGATGAGTTAAAAAATTCCAATGATCTTTGGAAGGCTGCACAACAGCTTTTCAATACAAGTGGGAGATAGACATCTCATACTCCCTTCTCTCCCAGAGATTCAGGGCTGCTTCCCAGGAGAGTTCACTTCATGAGGTGGGTACACCACATGACAGTTTGACAACTGCTGTTACAGCAGAACTTGAAATCACTCTCTGCAGCTTCTCTCCTCCTGTCTCTGTGGATCCTGTGCAGTCTAGCCTGGCTCATTTAGGGGTAGATTATCTGCAGGAGGAGGAAAAACTTCTTGCATTTTGTATTCTTCTTTTGCATCCCAAGAGCTGAGAAGCTATCTAAGTAGCATCAGGCTAGTACCTCATCTAGACACAGGCACAGAGGGAATCTAGGCCAGCCAACATACTGTAGTGCAGAGCAGGTCAGAAAACTAACATCAACAATACTATTCCTATATTGACACTTCGTAATTTTGGTGTTGCATATGTTTTAATTACGATTCTATCACATCAGTCATTAATAAAAATATTAAATACATTAAATAAAATTGAAAACCCCATACCAACCTAATGCCTAACACCCTTTATTAAGCTTCTAACAGGTCTAGTTAATGTTTCATAAAATGAGCAGAGAAAAATGCAAATTCATAATACTGTTTCCTATATACAGGTTTACGAAATATTTCACTACAGTCAAAATAGATTTGTTTTATTTTTTGTGTCTACAAAAGGAATTACCCTGACAAAGAATGGTACTGACTGTACTACAATCAATCATCAAACCCATTCGGCACTTTTATTCTGTTCTCTCCAAGCCTAATCACATCTCCAAATGTCTTTCCAGACTTAAGACCTGTGAAATAGCTACTTACCCAAAGGTACTACACAGAATGATTCCCTTCCACTATCTAGAAAACCATCAGTTATCATACAAGTTATGGAATCAAAACACTTTAAATGTTGATTTTTTTCCTTAAATACATTCTGAAGTTCTGAAGAGCTATCCTATTAGTGTGCAGATGTCATTACACTGTCAGCAACATGCAGCCTGACTAGAATTCAAGCCATGCAAGCCAAGTTGTTTCTTTAGTCAGACTTTATTTTTTCTTCAGGGGCTCTTAAATCTGGTTTATCTACAGAAATTGAACATGTTTGATCATAAACATAACAGCCTAAAGGTTGTGATTTCTGAAACCAGATAGATAAAGGTGATCTGGTTTTATCTACCACTTAAATACATAACTGCTACAAGAACTCCTATGCTGATTTATACAGTTGCCATCTCTATGATAGAACTTTTCAGAATTTAAGCGAACATATTTCAGCATCTCATTAAATAAACATTTTTTTTAAAAAAAGCCCAAAACCAAACACAAAGAAAAGCCCCCATCATCTCAGTTTAGCAGCAGTTTGCAATTATCACCACAGCTTGACAGTTTGTTTCTGGAAACAAGAGGTTCACTTTCAGTTCCTTTCCCAAAGAAAATTATTTAAGACAAGGAACTTCAAGAATTTCCCTGCTACTATACAGTGTCTCAGGGTGTGGGGAAAAGAGCTTGTTCACCTTAAAGCACTGCTGTAACACTTTCTTTCTCTGCCTTTGCAGAAAATCATACATTTGCACCTCTCTGAACCTTTGTAGAGCTGACTGCACTTCCTGATAAAAGGCAGAAAAAGGTCCCACAGGTATCTCACAAAGCATTCTGCACATGACAGGAAAACAAAATGCCCATCAAGCTACCAGTGGAGAGAGACAGGAAGAGTAACAGCAGTCAAAAACCTAAAAAGACCCCTAAGTTTTAATTCCTGCTCCTAAGATAATGAATTCCTATGATTCCTATGCTTATCTCCATTAAACTCAGGCTTTCAGACAATCACACAAGCACCCAGGTTCTGGGATTTACCAGTATCATAAAAATCCAGCAATTTAGAGCTGCAAGAAAAAAAATGTAGAGACTAGTTTGGAAACTAGATCAAAATCTATTAGGATAATGAAGATGAAGTACATTTGCAAATCTGTTAAAAACATGTTTTCTCCTGAATTCCGCCCCACAACTTCACAATCTAGAAGCCAGACAACGGTGGAAGAAAGTGTTCTCTTCCCTGTTCTTCTTCTTTTCTTCTGTATATTCTTCCTTTCTCTTCACCTCAGTTCTGCAAGGCTTATTGTTCAGCTTGACAAGGGAGCCAATGGGGGTTTTACTGGACATATTATGCTGCTGCTATGGGTTTCATCTTGGGAAGATGGGATTGAAAGAGATGAAAGGGCTGGAAGGTGCAGAATGAGGATGACTTCTGAAATTCTTTTCTTAGGATTTGAAGTAGGGTTATAGGTTGTATTTCTTGTTTCATTGTATTGCCCAGTAAACTGAAAGTTTCTATTTTCACCATTCAAGCAGGGGAAGTTTGTTAATACTTTATCATAAGTATTCATGAATAATACTTTTCCCCATACAACACATTTTAAATGTCTTCTATAGATAAGGAAATAAATGTAACAAACTAAATCAAGAACTGAATAGTGAGAAGGCTATTTATCTTTACAAAAAGAAAGCTGCTTTCAAAATAGGATCAAGACACCAAAGGGCTAATAAAACTTTGTCATACCTAGATTGAAAATATTTTGAGCCCAGAAGCTAGGATCACAGTGAAACTGGATGGTATTGTTAGTCACTGGTGAAGCATCACACCTTGCTCGGAGAAGATACCGTAGTCGATACGTAATCTAGAACAGGAACAAAGGACTTTTCTCTCTGGTGTCAAAGCCATGTATCCAAACAACGTAAAAGGTCTTTAACAAACAAAAATCATGAAACAAACAAACACCCCACTGCCACCAAAAACCCCACACCCCCCGAAACAAAAAAAGCACAAACAAGCAAAAAAAACCCCACATCACAAAAAACCCCGAACAAAACTGAACAAAATCCTAGAGAATTGAGGTGAAAGAGAAATTTTACAAGCTACAAACAAAAGATGTTCTCAGCATCTTTCCCTTATTCCTAAAGTAGTTTTAAAAGCAATCAACTAGAGCCTAAAAAAAAAATATTCATTTTCCCTTGCAGAAATACAAATCCTTCCACAAACATGGTCATTACATTCAATGACTTGAACTACTTGCAAGAGAAGCACAGATTCACATAACCATTGTTGTTTTGTTTTCCCTAAAACCTATGCTAGTCCATTCATTTTTCTTTCAAAGAAAAGTATCACATCCTTTTGGCAACAAGTATCATCACAAAGAATTTTCCTTTTCCCATTAATAAATTTAAGTTTTCTTCAGAGCCAAAGAGCAGGTTTTATAAACTTCAGTCACCTTGGTTCCAAAGGACTGGACTATGATTATATTACACAAACAGAATACTCCATCAAATGCTCAGTATTTATCTAGTTCCCAGAAAGAAAATACATTCTTGCAGTTGTTTCACTAGAAATACCTAACAGGGGCACTAGTTTTAGAATAATACATAGCAGATATAGGAAAAACAACACTTCAATACTTATTTTTCTTGAATAATAGATTATTCCCTGGAAAACATCTTACCTATTTAAAATTATACTAATTATCTTTTACATAGGAATTTTATAAGAGTTTCCAGTTTACAACTTGTTTCTTTCAATTTTAGGCAGGTCAGTTTTAGACCAATACAAAAACATTTAGCAAGACTTAAGTATGTTCAATGACCATGGAAAATTTTAAGTGCATTACCATTTTGAATATAGATTCCCTAGGATTTCTGTGTATGCTACCAGAATCACATATACTACACTACAGAAATTCCAGTCCTGTCCCAAAAACTGGTTGCACATAGTTCTTGTCATAGTTTGTTCCATATATTCCTCTTATTGTGCACATATATTGTTGATAAGCTCATGAGTAGACTAGTTACCTCCTGTAAGGAAAAGTGGTAGCTACCAGTGTTTTGTTCATGCTAGATGACTAGGCTGAGAAACTGATGTCTTCCAGCAAACTGTTCAGTGTGCTATTTCCCTGAAGCCCAGACACTGCCTCCTAGCTCTAACTGCATTGAAGTCTGCTGGGCATTCATTCCCCCCTCCTAGTTTCAAGTGGTTGGATATGCTGAGGCAGAAGTCTCACAGGCTCTCTATGCATCACTGTTCAGGAACAGATTTGCTAGTGTCCACAGACAGGATAGCTACTCAACTCTCAGAAAACACCAACTTTCAGCAAAACACCCCAGGAACCTAAAGCTCATCTGTTCTTTTGAAAAGATATTTCTTATTTGCTGAGGCTTTATGGGATCAATGCCCTTCTTCTTCAACTGCGTAATACTGATAAGATGCCTGCAACATACCTTGTTTTCTCACTCACATAGCAGAAGTCTTTGAGGCAACACTAAGTAATTACAAACAATATGACTCAGTCTGATGCCATTTTTCTCTATTCAATTAAAAAAATATGACTGGCTGAGGCAGTATAAGGCAGGCAAAATGAATTTAACTACTTGAAGGTGATAAAATCAAGTAGTATTCTGCTATAGCCTGCAGCATTTTAATGAGTATCAAAAAATGGTTCAAAATTATTAGAAACATTCTGTATTTATGTTTAAGAGAAAGCTGAAATCTGTACACAAATATTCCTATTGGTAGAGAGTCATTAGAAAGTCTAATTCCCTAGCATTACTGACATATGTCTGTGTGTATCTGCCTTAACTATAGCCTCTAAATAATGGAGAAAGCTATCTTCCTAACCTTACCAAGCGTTTGCTGTACAGTAGTGCTGTGCTGCTCCCACTGGAGACTGCCCATTTGGAAAAATTCATGACATGTTCCAGCTGCTTAGAGAGACCTGCCACTTCCTGTTGTTGCTGCAGAAGTTTCATTCGATGCTCTTTTGCCAGCGTCTACAAGTGGAAAAGCAGTTCCAGTCAGCGGGTTCAATTTACAGTTAACAGGCATTAGCTTTCATATTTGTAATTCACAATGATCAAGTGGTTTTGCTTAGCTCTTCTAAAAAGCACTCCTGCCCTTGACTTCAGCTATCAAACAGAAAAGTCGGTATACATTTATTCAAGATATCAGGACTTCCTGTACAGATTCCCCATATTCTCTTATGACACATTTTCACATACAAATGTGAGACTCTACACATGCACACACACACACTTTCTTGAAAAAAGTAATTGGAGGTAATATTTTTCCAGGTATCCATTCTAGACAATTCTCTCATTTGATGTGTCATTGGACTGATGAATTTATGGAAAATTCTGATGGAAACACTTTTCATGCATGACACATAGGATTATGACTTGCAAAAGCATGGAGAAAGAAATTGGGCTCAGAGGCAGCCCTGATTCACAAAGCAGGGAACACATAATAACTACAAAACAATCACCACCACCCCAAACACAAATCCTCCTCGCCTTCCCCATCAAAATCCCCACTCGGTCAAACAGCTTTTGTGAGACATTTCC